CTATTTAGTGCCTTTAGAGCACTGAAATAATAATGGGATAAAACTGGGACGTGGGATAAAATACTGGGACTGTTCTAGTGGGACAAAGTTCTGCTTCATGTCAGTGGAGGATGAAGTGGGTAATTTTCCATATCTGCTGCCTTCTTTAAAAGAAAGCAAAATCCCATCTCTCTCATTAAAAATTCAGGAAAAAAAGAAAAAATAGTCCCAGTGCTCTGAGCGCAGGGGCTGCCAAGGCCATTTTCTGTCTGTTCTGCCTGGGCTTTTCCATAGACATTGTAAAGGTTTTTTTCTCCAATATCTGAGGGGCTGATCCCCCAGTGCCCCTCTGCACAGGAGCCCTGTCAGCTGCACGGAGCCTGCGAGGGGCCAAGCCAGAGCAGGACCCACCTGCTGCCCCCCAGCAGCTTTGCTGGCCTCTGTCCGGGGAGCCCTGTGCTAAATCCCACATTTCTGCTTGTGGGCAGACTCCCTCCAAAATTTCCTCTTGCCTCGGGAGCTCTGCCTTGCATCAGGCACAGTCCCTGATGGCAGGAGGCTGCTGGCATGGCTCGCCTTTGAAGCCCAGCTTTTGCAAGGCAAAGCAAACCCATGCAGATGAAGCTGCAGGAGCACGGCTTTGCTCTTTGTGTGTCCAGTTTTATTATTTCAGCTGCCAAACTCATCCCAGGAGCTGCATACCCCGACAGCAGGGGATGGTCCTGCCGCAGGCACACATCCCTGAGGATGGAGAAGGCTTTCCCTGCAGCAGGGCAGGGGGGACGTGATGAAGCCTTTGCCTTGCACGTGACTGGGCAGGACAGTGTGTGCTCCCCTTCGCCATCCTTCGGCTGCCCCTTGTGCTCCAGGGCTTGGCAGCTGCCTGGTGGAGCAGGAGAACAAAAGTCAGAGGGTCTGGAGGGGTTTGCACCCTCCTGGAACAATCCCCTGCACGAGGCACTGAGCTCCAGAGGCAGTGCTGTGCAGAGCACAGCTGGATTCTAGGGGCACAGCTGGGCTCCAGGGGCACCGCTGGCTCAGGGAATGCAGCCTCTCCTGCAGTCCAGCATGGCACAGCAGCACGTGTTGCCTACGTTTGTGCTGCTGCTTTTCAACACTGCCAATGCTGGTGCTCTCCCACCTGGGGTCTAAGAACCAGTGCAGCAGGATTTGCCGTGGGGAAAGAGAAAAAATTGATAGTGAAAACTGAAATGTTTAAAAAATGTGACTTAATAGCTTACAGAGACCCAGGTGTTCAGGGATTGGCACTCTGGGAGTAGAGCTTACACAACAAAACAGGTGTGTGCTTGGATAATAAATAAATATTCTGCACCAGAATGGGGTTTTAGTTTAGTTTTTGAATATGGTGCAAAGGCACATTAACTTTTTTTAAAAATCTCTTTATTTTTGTGTACCAGGAGGACGTGATGGGTTGGAACCCAGTGCCCTGGCATCTCTGAGCAGGCTCCAACACAGACGTGCTGCTGGCTGCTCCCAGGCTGAGCAGGTCAGGACGAGCTGACACACGAAGCACTGAAATGTGGGGAGCTTGTCGTAAAAGCAGCGCAGAAGAAATGTGAAGGTCTGATGTAAAAAAACAACTGAAGGTAACCTGTAACTTAACTATTGTTCACATTATTTACAGGCTGGATGTCCCTTCTTGGTTTTGATGATTAGAGAGTAACTACGATTTCATAAGAGCCCGAACAATGTTATTACAACAATTACTGTGTTGCTTCATTCTAAAACGTCTTCACTGCCATATTTAGCCATGTGAACTGCAAGGTTATGCTAAAGCAGATTCATCACCTGGGTAATGCACAGGACTGTTTTTTGAGCAGAAAAGTGTCAGCAAGATCAGAGCTTGCAACATGGGGAGGATTCTGCAGTGTTAAGCTGCAGATGTAAAGGTGGAGGTGTTTTTGTCAGGGGAAGAGCTTTTGTCTTGGAAGGGCTGACATTTCCCCTTTCCTGGTGTGGATTACTCCAGTCACTGTGTGATGCCTGTCACTCACAGTGAAGGAAGGAGGAAAGTATCAAACTAAGAGCTGACTTTAAAAGCTCAGCTCTTTTCCCCTCTGTCCTCAAGTTCCTCGCTGGGTGCTGATGGGGAACCCGGAGCTCCGGCCTTGGCTGGCTGAGCCTGTCTGTGGGCTCGGGTCTGTCCTGGTGCCTGCAGCGCTGCCCTGTGCCCTGCTGGCTCTGTGCATGTGCCATCATGTGGGTCAGACCTTGGCTGCTTGACTTGTCTGCCCAGCTCTTGCTCAGGATGCAAATCCCTGGTTTGCATTTCTAATTAATTGAAGCACGGCTGTGTGTTATGAGAGCTTTCGGAGTGCTCAGAGCTGTGGGAGCCCGGATGGAGGGATGTGTGGAGCTGTGCCAAGGGTCAGGATGTCTCTGAAGAGCAGTTTGTCTCTGGGCACCCAGGAATTACCACGCTGTCCCTCTGAGGAGAGGCAGTCCAAAGACTGGAAGGTGCATGTGTTAGGTGAGGGTATAAAATACTTCCTTTTTCTGAAACACAAGTGAAATAAAAAGTTTGTATAAGCCTCTATGTACACAAATGAGTGACTTCCTATTAAACTCACCTGCTGAGCGCTCTGTAGTTCCCTTTGCAGGAGCCCAATGACCTGTAGAGGTGATTAGGACAAGTGTCAGTACTTTCTGTGTGGAGCTGGCCTATGGGAGCCTGGGACAAGGGTCATTTCTGCAAAAGGCTCCAAAGCCTCGTGCCAGTGTTCAGTTTCTAGGTTGTCTGGAGTGAGGACAAGCCACGCAAGGGAGCATTGGTCTGTGGGAAGGTCCCTGCTGCTGCCTCGTGGTGTGGGGGGCTGCAGTGAGCACAGGGGAGGTGGGAATGGTGCTCGTGCCTGCTGTCCTGGCCAGCTGCCGTGCCAGGAACAGCCAGGGCTGTGCTCAGGGCAGCACCAGCACGTTCTAGGCGGGCTGGGAGAGAAATCGGGCTTGGGAAAACGGTGGCTGCTGCCTCGACTCTGCAGGTAAAGGTTGCTGGATCCCACAGCTCCTGGGCTGCACTGCAGGAACGTGGGGAGCCCAGCAGAGCAGCCCCATGGCACGCTCTCTGCTCCCTCCCTGCTCTGGGCTTGCTGCCCGGGCACAGCAGCTCTCAAACACGGCTCTGCTGGATCACGTGCAAAACAAAATACTGCTTGGGGGATTTCTTGGGATTTCTTTGGGCCTTAAAAAACGGAGACCTAAACTTTGAGGCATTTTAACTGTTGTGATTTTTACTCCATCTGGAGGCAGTGATCTAAAACTTTGCAGAAAATGTGTGCAAAATCCCAAATGCTACTATTCAGACACTTTTTTTCCCTAAGTGCATCAAGCAGGTGTTCTGTCCTTGCAGTCACCTTCATTTCTTTGCTACAGAGTTTGGTAGCTTCGGCTCCCTTTTACCTACCTAAGAAATAGAAGTTGAAAAACAGATGATTAAGACTCCTCAAAACCTTTGGCACACCCTCTATTTAAGGACCAGCTCATCCCATTTTGTGGTTACACCCAGCCTAACACACAGGCTCTCAGCACTGAGCTGTGTGAGCTGCCAGTGTGTGTGCACAGCACTGGACGAGCCTCGATCACAAGCAGAAATCAGAAAGTAAAAGGAATTTCTGTTCTTCATCTGCTTAGTTTCTCAGTGCCACACTGCTCTGCAAATCCAGAGGTGGATGCAGTCAGTGCTGGGAGTCCCTGGGACCTCTGTGTCTGTTTTGTGGAAGGCCACAGCTGGTTTACAGACCCTCTTCTGCCAGTGTTTAGCTCAGGCCCCTCTGTTAATTGTCACGCTGTGTCAGCAGGTCGAGAGGAACGTTTCCAGCCTCCTCTATGTTCCCCCAAGCAGTTACTGAAGTGCTGACTATTTCAGCAGCTAAGAATTTATTATATTTACTTTTCGTAAAGGAGCAAAGTTAATCCTCTTAACAGTGTATGTGTGTGGGGAGAGCCTTTAATGCAACAGCATTTAATGTAAGAGGCAGACAATGGCTGAGATAACACTGATTTATGGGGAAATTCAGAACCAATTGAAAGCTGATTGGAGATTAGTTCAGTTTCCAGTTAGGAAGGGTGTTACAGCTGTGGAAGGCATGTAGCATGCCTGGTGAAGAAGATGTAGTGGGTAGAAGTTGCTAAATAAGACATACATCTCCCTGTGTGGCAGAGGCTGGGGAACCCCAGAGGCAGATATAATTAATGCACAGCAATCTAAAACAGCTTTGAGAAAATCAAGCTGCGTGGAGCAACCTGCTGGATTGGATTAGACTGCTGTAAACAATTAATTTCTAAAAATAGCAATCAAGTGGTGATAAAGTGTCTGGCACGTGTGAGAGAGCGTAAAGCTGGCAGGACAGCTGGAGGAGAAGGGCTGGCTGGGGATAAGGGACACTGCTGTCTTGGAATAGTGGCATAAATTCCAGAATGTTGGGTTAGAAAGCAGTTTCTGTGCAGGCACAGAACTGTGGGATTGCCAGGGGAGAGCTCTGTGCGTGGTCTGGTGAGCTGGGTGGAGAGGGAGCATCGGGATGGGGCGGCTCAGGCAGCGTCCCCTGCTCCCCTCTCTGTGCCTGGGCTGGGAGGGTGAAAGTGCCACCAAGGGGGACATGTCTGGGTGCTCCTTCCTGGCCAGGGGAGGGTGTGGCTGTGCACCACATGGCTCTGGGCTGGGGGATGCAGGCCTGGGTGCTCTGCTCGCCTGGACAAGGAGCATGTCCTGGGAAATTGGGGTACTGCCTCACTGAGGTACACTCCTCACAGAGAGGAAGGGTGTGAAACAGTGTGGGTGTAGCAAAGTAATTGCATGTGTGAAAGAGGCTTCCCTACTCTTGATGTGTGGCCAAGCTGACACTCAAGGTAGGAATTACTGACATACACAGTCACCAGCTCTGGGGTTTACTCCCAAATAAAGTTGAATTGCCCTTCAGAGCAGCTGGAGTCAGTAAGCTGCTCAGGAAGTGAGTTTAGTTTAAAGCAGATAGAAATAACCTGTGGATTGTCTCAGGCAGTTTGAGCAAGAGCCTTTTAAGGCTATTTAGTGAGTGTACTTAGAAAATCCATTTTTCTGCATTTATTGAGTGTTAATATTACTCAGCAAACACCCTTTTACTTCTTCAGCAGAAGTAAACCTAACTATTTTTCAAGTTCCCTATGAACATGCAGAGTAGAGCGTGCAAGCTGCAGGATCAGGACTCGGTGGGAGATACTCGTGTGTCCAGTTCTGTTTTGGGGCTTGTCTGGGATGTTCTCTGCAGAGCCTTCACCCTGCTGCAGAGCACCTTCTCCACGAAGGGCTTGCAGAGGAACAGGTAGATCAGGGGGTCCATGCAGACGTTGGTGGCCGCCAGCCACAGCGTGCTCTCTTTGGCCACGAAGAGCTGGTTCTGCAGGCGGCAGTCCATGTGGGCACTCGTTTGGCTCAGCGTGTAGGGGACCCTGCTGAAGTGGAAGGGGGCAAAGCACAGGAAGAACACGGTAAAAATGATGAATACTTTCCCCTTGATCCGTTTCTCGCTTCTGTTGCCTTTCTTCTGTGTTTTTATGTAAGACTCATATACCTTCTTGGCAATAATCACATAAAATAGCAACATGAGGATGAGGACAGTCCAGAAGATGAACTGACAGACATAGTTGACGGCTTCGTGCCATTTGAGTCCGAGGTAACTCTTCAAGGAGGCACACTTCCTCACGGACTGGGGCGTCGCTGTCTTGTTGGACAAGATCATGTTGGGCAGGGAGAGAACGAGGAAGAAGAGCCAGACCAGACTTGCCAGGATCTTTGCTGAGGTCAGATTTTGCACCCAGAACTTCCCAAAAGGTCTCACAATCTTGAGAAATCTGTCGAAGGCAATGAGCCCGAGTAGCACTATGCTGATGTACATGGTGTCATAGAATATCACGGCTGAGAAGCGACAGACAAAAGCCTTGAGCTGCCATGGCCCCAGGCCAGAGTCTGTCAGGATCTTCAGAGGGAGCATCAGGGTCATTATAAAATCAGAAACTAAGATATTTTTCAAGTAGACGATGAAAGTTGATGTGCTTGGAATGTGGAAGAAAGCCCAGCAAGCCAGGCTGTTCAGCACGAGTCCCAGGAGGAAGACGAACGTGTAGAGCACGGGGAAGAGCAGGTGGGTGACGGTGGTGTCGCGGGGGCACCGTGCAGAGGAGGGTGCTCCACTGGCATTGCCAACAGAGCTCGTGTTTGCAGAGTCGCCCATCACTGGAAACAGGCTTGGATGAAAAGGAGGGAGAGAACACAAAACACAACCTTCTGCATGTAGCATGACATGTTCCTTACAGTGACAGCAGGTTTGCGTGAATAAACACAAAACCTGAGCCTGTGTTCAACAGCCCAACCAATTTCTCTTCTGGTTCATGGAAAATCTAAATCTTTGCTGAAGTTTAAGTTACTTACAAGCTAACATCCACTGAAGAGTTAAAAAGGGTCATACTTATTTTGGAGGCCTAGGGTAATGTCACAGCAAGGTATAAGAGCAGGCTGCCTGGAACACTGTTGGCCTTTCCATAGAAACCTATTTCAGTGTTGAATCGAAATGTTAGAGCTGTGGCCCACAGCCAGCCACTCCTGGGTAAGCGACTTCTGGTAATTCTTTCCAAGCACCCCTGTTTCCCTTTCCCAGCACAGCTTTGGAAAGCTTTTCCCCAGCCCTGAGCACCCCATCACACCCCCAGACCCTGCGAGTACCTGGACAAACCTGCGGCAGCCGTCGCAGAGGCGCCTGTGGCTGTCCCCATCCCAGCTGCTGTTCCTCTGCCAGCAGGAGCCTCGAGCAAAGTGATAAGAGTGGGGAAATGTGTAGAAAGATGAGACCTTTTTCTGTTGGCGTGTGGTTTCCTTCCTCATTTTCAGTGTCGCCTGAGTTAGTCACATTTGCTGCTGCTTTTGTTTCTTCCCTTTGCTCTGCCTGAGAAAGCACACCATCTTCTCCTAAACTAGGAAAGGAAACCTGACCCTGCCTCTCAAGACAGACACATGTCTGGTTGTGTGTGCATGGGACAGACCTGCTACACCTGGACTGGTGGGATGAACAAACATAGAGTGTTTCCTGACAGCATTCCAGGATAACCCTCAAACGTAGCTCCTAGTTGTTGTTTGTGTGTGAGTTTTGTGTTCTGGAGGGCACCAGCCATTGCCAGAGCATTAAAAGTTTGCTCAGCGCCACCTGACAGTGGGTGCTCAGGGGCTGACCCCTCTCCCTGCACCAGGTGTTGCTGACACGGGGGCCTGGGCTTGGCTGTGGCTCTCCAGAGCAGATTCCTGGGTTTTTTGGCTCGTGTAGGCAGGGGATGCTCCGTGCTGCTTAAAGCCATGTTCTGGTCCTGGCAGGAGCCGCTGCTGCGTGGGAGCTGTGGGCTGCTGCTGTGTTAGTTGAGATGGTGCTGGAATGGGGGGCACTTCTCTGAGAGCAGAGCTGTTTGTGTGAGTTCATTGCTGCCTGCTGATGTGGCAGCAGTGGCTCAGGGCTAAAGCCATTTCCTGGGGCAGGTGTGGATTGCTCCAGGCGGGGCTCAGGCTGCAGCTGTGGCAGGGAGTTTGTGCATCAGTGCCTGGCACATTCTGGTTAATGCAAGTGCTGCTGTCAGTGCTAAATGGCTGCCGAGAGCAAACAGCCCTGAGGATGGCTGGCTTCAGCCACCCTCAGCATGTCACCAGTGTGCTGTGTCCCTGGCCTGCCTCTGGCCCCACTGGTGACCACGTAAGGGTGCCCCAGCCCACTGCAGTGCCCCAGGGTGCCCCAGCCCACTGCAATGTCACAGCTCACTGCAGTGCCCCAGGGTGCCACAGCCCACTGCAATGCCCCAGGGTGCCCCAGCCCACTGCAATGCCCCAGGGTGCCCCAGCCCACTGCAGTGCCCCAGAACTGGTGTCCAAGGCAGGGTCTTCCACATTTTCTTGCCAGCCAAGCTCTTGCTGCTGTTCCCTGTGCACACCCCAGCCGTGGGGGCTCTGGGGCACAGGGGTGTCTGTGGTGTCTGTTATCTGGACAGCTCACCTGGCCAGGGACAGCGGCTCCTGGGGGATTGCCACTCTCTCTCCACGTGTAGGTGCAAAGTATGTGTGGAATGAGTTCTGGGTGGGAGTGGGGCATGTGGCACTTCCCTCCCTGGGCATTAATGGGAACTGAGCTGGCCTAGGCCAGGCAGCACGGGGTGGCTGGACACTGTTCCAGGGAAATCCTGGAGCTCTGTGCTGGAGCCCAGCCCCTGACTGTCGCACTGGAGCAGGGCCCAGCACGGGCAGGGCACTGTTTGTGGCAGGGTCAGAGATGCACAAACCCCAAGGCCGAGGGTGGCAGTAGGTGAGCAGCGAGATGCCTTTTAACTTCTTGGGAAATTGGGTTATGGTTGCAGAAGTGCCCTGGCAGGCAGGGACACATCCCAGGAAGGATGGACAGGCTGTGGCTTTGGCAGGATGAGCTCTTGTGTGATGGGGACACACACTGCTCAGCTGGAGCTGTTTGCAGAGGTGATGAAAGAACCACAATTTATTCCAAAAGCCCACAATCTATTTCGTGTGCAATTGCTGTGATACCTCAAAATGTAATGTACTTGAAAATACTTCCCTGGTTTTTTTTCAAGTTTTCCAAGTGCAAAAAGGGAAGCAGATGAGGATTTTGTATAGTGCAAAAAGCTGTCCTTAATCATCAGTAAAGAAGTTACCATGAGCCTGTCTTTCCCCAAGATCTCAGTATGATGTAAATCGAGTGTTTGTATGTTTTCTATTATGATGTTCTCTGAAAACATACAGTTTTGTTTATGTAGTAAGGGGAAGGATTTTGGGTTTTAATTAATATCAAGCGTGATTATGAAATAATTTTATCTGAAATACAACTATTAATTATTGGTCAACGGATTAGGAACTACAAACATAGAATGAGATAAGCAAAGTGTTATTCTGTTACCAAAAATCTGCCCAAATGGCTCTCTCTAGGTTTCTGTTTGTCCGCCAGTTGCATACAAGGTGACAACTCCCTGTATTGAAAAATCACATCTACTGTGGATTTTATCTGCATTTCTCAGCTCTTGTGTTGTCATGAACTTTACTCTGGCTGAAGTTCAGCTATTTCTGCAAAATCTTTACAGTTCATGATATCATCTGTAGCATTTCAGGATTCTGTTCTAAGTTTTTCCTCACAGTTGCACCTTTAAGTTCAGGCTTTTCCCAGCAGTTCTGGCAGGCGTGGAGGCTGGGGTCTGGGAGCTCCTGTTCTGGCAGGGGGGGAGGTTGGGGGCGGGGGGCTCCTCTGTTATTTAACTTTCTATTTTTGCAGGCAGTGGTGGTGGCTGCAGGGTGCTCGTGCTTCATCCGCAGGACGGTTTCTAAAGAAGCCGGTGGAGTTCTGGGTGCTCCTCGTGGGTCTGTGCTCCTGCCACCCCCAGTAAACGCGTGCGGGACGCCGAGACCTAGAGCGGCGTCTCGTCGCTGTCATCGGCCCCCTTGTGCCCCCGAGCCCCGAGCCCCGGCACTGCCCCGTGCTTGCACAGCATGCCCAGCAGGGATCTCCGAAACGACTTGCAAAGGAAGAAGTATATGAACGGATCCAGGCAGGCGTTGAGGGATGTCAGCCACAGCGTGGTCTCCTTCAGGTAGAACAGGGTGTTCTGAGCAGAGCAGTCAAACACATCTCTCGTTTGGCTCAAGGTGTAGGGGATTCTGGTAAAGTGGAATGGCACAAAACAAATAAAGAACACAGCAATTATTATGAAAACCTTGAGATTGACAGTCTTTTTAGATGCCTTCCCCGTGCACCGTGTCCTTTTGTAGGATTTGTACAGTTCCTTGCTGATCAGGATGTAACATACCACTATGACTGCTAAATTAACCCAGAAGATGAGCTGACAAATGTAGTTTACAATTTCATGCCAGACTAAGCCAAACTCTGATTTCAGGAGAGCGCACTTCCTGACGTTCTTGGGTGTTTTCTTCTTATTATTTAAAATCATGTTGGGCAACGAGAGAGCAAACATGGACACCCAGATTGCTGTGGACAGGATCTTGGCAGCCAAAAGGCTCCGTGGGGTTGCTGTTCTGAATGGTGAGGAGGCTTTCTGGTAGCGATCAATAGTTATCAGACCAAGGAACAGGATGCTGATGTACATGGTGAAGTAGAACACCACCTGGGTCACCTGGCACACAAACCCTCGCAAGACCCAGGATACCAGCTTTGCATCACTGAGGATTTTAAATGGAAACGTCAAGATCATGAGGAAGTCAGAAATCACAGTGTTCTTGAGGAAGATAATGAAATTAGATTTACTGGATATTTTAAAGAAGACCCACATTGCCAGGCCGTTCATCGTGATCCCCACCAGGAACAGAAATGTGTAGAGTAAAGGGAAGATGACTTGGCTGATCCTGCTGTCGCTGGTGCAGTTGCTGTCATTCCTGGAGGAGCTGAATTGGGTTGTGACTTTCATTTGCATGGTGGTATTTCCTCTCCCTGGAGAAACAAACAGAAAAAAAAAAGAAATTGAGAGTTTTATCTGCTATGAGGCTTCACCTTTGAATTGTTGTGTTGTGAACAAATGCACTCAGCTGGTGGGGCCCCAGCTGGGCCAGGGCAGCTCTTGGGTGATGCAGTGATGCAGTTGGTTCTGTATCTCTGCCTGGGCTCTTCCTGTGTAAAACAGGCACTTGGGGGAATTGATATGCTCTCAGCTGATGCCCAAATCCCTGACAAAGTTTTAGTTCTTCCTGGAAAGTAGAAAAAAAA